CAGTTTACATTCATCTACAGGTCAGGACTCTACAGTTTACTCTCATCTACAGGCCAGCAGTCACTCTTTCAGGGATGAAGCTGTTCTCATCCTTGATAGAGAGGAACGTTGCTTTGAGAGAGGAGTTAAGCTTACATCACACTCCCTCCAAACTGCTGAAAAAGGCTCAGATTGTTGCAGTTTCATGACAAAATTTACATCCCCGTGTTCTCAGYGTCGACTCGGCCGCCCTTTTTGTCACAACCTGCCGGCAGAACTTTTTACCCCCTCCACATAAGAACTTATTGTGTGTTTGGTCAGAAGTTCAAGGGAGTGTTTGTTCATGCTGAAAGTGCTCGAGGGCTAAATTTTGCTTCAGCCACTCGCTTAAAAAAAACCTGCTCGCTTCCAGAAGCAGACTGTTGCAGGCTACCAGGAAGCAGACGGTTATAAAGCTTGTCAAACTATCAAAAACTTATGGATGGAGAAAAAACAGACATTTTTCCACAAAGGAATCTGTGTGATAAATACTGGGCACTTTAACAGGGACAGATTTGTGGACAAATAACTTCGGGTGACGGGTCTCAGATTTTTCCCCTGCATTGTAGACTCCAGTGGGAAGAAACCTCAGGCAGTGATGTATACTGCAGCAGAGGGGTTTCCCAGGAGCTCAGCACGGTGTGCGAAAATGAACGCCAAACAACCATGTGACTGCGCATCAACTGTTCGGCTTCAGATGGAGTATGTAGAGGCCTTAATGGAATAGAAATCGGTCGTCAAAGAGGATCTTCAAAGACCACCATCGATAGTCCTCTTTTGTATGTGAAAAGTTTTAGACTGTCATTGTTAAACTTGTTTGTCCACCATGAGAAGGTACTGCTTATAAGGCTGAGTTTACCTGAAACTCCTCAGACTGAAGAAAGGCTGGTTTATATTTCGAGTCACACATCTTGTTACCTCTATTGAGTGACAGAAAAGTGTGCAACTTTCATCTGCTCTCCTGCTGCTAAACCCACGGTGACAACTGTCATGTACATTGCCCCCAGTCTGAACTCTGCGACGCAGACCTTGCAGCTCGAAGCGTGTGATTGGTCAGAACTTCGTGTGGAGCAGGTCTCCAAGCAGCTCTTCCTTCTGCAGGTTATTTTGTTTAAAATTATTTTTTTGTCTAAAGCCTGTTGTTAAAAGAGCTAGAAGAGCAGCTGGTTTGATCCTATTGAACGTGAGCATGCAGCTGATGTTCATGTCTTTTTCCCATCACCATCGTTAACAAAAAYGAGAAAATATTTGAGGTTTAAGAGTCAGGCTCGAATATCACAGATGTCCATTGAAGCTTGGACGTGCACTCTCTGTATTCTASAGGGMTTTGAGAGAAAACCACGAGTCTAATAGCAGCGAGAGACAAACATCAATGTTTTAATGTACAGATGTTTAAAAGTCTATTTGCAAATAATTTACAAAGTTTAGGCAGCACTAATGTTAGTGTCAGCTGAATCTCCAAAAAATCATTACATTTAAAGTGTGCTGCAAAAAAAGCACATGGCAGTTCAGTCAAACAGCTAACTTAAAAAAAGATTTTCTCACTGATTTTACCAAAATCCCTTTGAGTATGTGGATGATTCCAGCTGTTATTTTAAAATTTCATCTACATTGTAATCTACTGCCACCAGAAGTCATAGTACACTACTCCTAATTACGACACAAATTTTGATGTTTTTTTTAACTGCAAGAGAAGAAACCAGACATGAACCTTCTCAAGCCTGAGTTGGGGTTAGGTCATGTAAAGGTTCATTATGGTGAGGATTAAAGCCGCTCAACTCAGATTTCCTGGAGGGCAGGATGGCTAACTTGTAAGCTGATCCACTCTAAACCCTCTGAATTAGCAGGCTCCATGTGTCGCAGTGAAGACAGAGCTCCGGCCCTTTCTCTCCTCCCTGTAACTCAATTTCTTGACTGAGAGTACATTTTTATTGTGTTTGAGTCAATGCCACACCAGCTGGCAGTAATCCAGAAACAGAATTTAAAGGTGATATGTTAAACACAAGAAAAAAAAAACAAAAGACTTGTTGCACCATTTGTTGGAGATAGAATCACCTCCATTTAGACATTTTCAAAATCTCTTGCTCACAGAAATTTTAATGTGCTCATTTTGTTGTATTTKGACTGTTTTAAAACGAGTACAAAAAAGTAAAGTACTACATAGCTTTACTAACATACACTGCATACCAACTCTTGGAGTGGGATAGTAGTTTTTGATCATGTTAGGATTATGAGCATGTTTTACTTTAGTGGTTGTGCTCTCCCCTCCCTCGACAACATCGTCGCCAGCACTCTCCAGGGCAAAGAGGATCTTCAAAGACCACCTTCATCCTGGTCACCACCTGCTCAGCCGGCTGCCCTCCGGCAGAAAGTACAGGAGCATTAAGAGCCGCACCAACAGCCTCGAAAACAGTTTCTTCCCACGGGCCATCCAGACTCTGAACACCAGCCAAACATCCTCAGTGCAATAACTACKTTATTATTGGTTTTGTCTCTGTAAATATACAATTTATATTGCTGCTGTCCTACATGTCTTTCTATGTTCAGTTTTTTTCTACAGGCTTGTGCAATGATGAARTCTATGTTGTCTGGATCCCAACAACACATCCGGATCCAATCATCATTATCCTACAGTATGTAGAGGAAAGGATAGCTGTGYCCGAGTGTCCTTATTGTAGAAATATCTGAACACAAAATCTGTTTGACAGATTTGTAAAGAACTTCTCCACTCAAAGTTTGCAGACATGTCATACTGCAGCTAAAGTAGATATCTGTTGGTCACATAATGTTCCCTGCAGTTTAAAGCTTTTAGATGTCCTGGTGCATCTCAGTAATCCAGGTAGAAAAATCAAAAAGAAAAATAAGGAAGTCCTCTGGACGGGTTCTTCTTTATGGTAAATGGTACTGAACTTATAGAGCGCTTTTCAAGTCCCTCCGGACCCCAAAGCGCTTTATACTAACAGAC